ATGAAATGTTCTTATCATTGAGACAGATGTACTACAGTATTGATACCATGGAGACTGCGATACTACAGTACTATTTTTACCGTGAAGACCAGAACAACAGTACTATAGTAACCATGGAAACTAGGGTATTGCTGTACTATTGTTACCATGGAGACTGGGTTACTAAAGTACTATTGCTACCATGGAGACTGGGGTACTACATTACTACTGTTACCATGGAGACTGGGGTACTACGGTACTATTGTTACCATGGAGACTGGGGTACTACAGTACTGTTGTTACCATGGAGAATTAGGTACTTATAGTCTATAGACTTGGGTGACGCTTTGTCATCTAGGCATTTAATTAAAAAAATGCTACTAGGTTGCTTCCATAGAGTCAAAAAAGAAAAATGGAACGGTTTTCTCCAACCTTCATCATCCTATCAGGAACCAGTTGATGATTTACTACTTGACATATCATGAATTTCTGTTTTTGTGACTTTATTGTAATTCTATCCAAAAGGGAATAGAGATTTTATAGACAATATGTATGGACAATGATTACCCATTATTTTGATGTACTTTATTGATCAGCTGTATGGAGGTTTAAGATTTCTGCTCCACTATTATAAATACCATCAAAGTCGACAATGAGGAGTAAATAGAAGGGAGATATTATCCTTTTACGAGGTAACATTCTCGCTACAATGTCTGGGAAAGACGTGACAAGATGCCTGAGGTGTCAAACAAGCCAGTCTGATGACATTGACAAAGGTCTGTTGGTCAGTCTCAGAGGTGGGCTTACACATCGTCATGGCAACCTGTGTCTATTCTACCGACACATATTATAAAACCAGCTGGGAACACAAGTTAGTCTGAGTTGTATCTAGTTACAGCCACATCGCTGACAGAGAACAGATAGGTGGAACTGTTAGATACCATCAGCAAAGACCACTGACATCACACAATGTCAAACAATGTCAAAACAAGTGTCACTGACAAATATCAGATAAACAGATATATACAACAAAACAATCCATGTCACATGATATCACAGATTAGGATTCATAGCACATATCAAAGTAACGAAAAAACACACACCATTTAGTTAATTATATGAAAGAATAGTCACTTACTAACCTTCTCGCATAAACCTACCAGTGACAAGAAAGAATAGTCACTTTCTAACCTCCTCACATAAATCTACCAGTGACAAGGAAGAATAGTCACTTTCTAACCTTCTTACATAAATCTACCAGTGACAAGGAAGAATAGTCACTTTCTAACCTTCTCACATAAATCTACCAGTGACAAGGAAGAATAGTCACTTTCTAACGTTCTAAAAAAAAACCTACCAGTGACAAGAAAGAATAGTCACTTTCTAACCTTCTCACATAAACCTACCAGTGACAAGAAAGAATAGTCACTTCCTAACCTTCTCAAATAAACCTACCAGTGACAAGGAAGAATAGTCACTTTCTAACCTTCTCAAATAAACCTACCAGTGACAAGAAAGAAAAGTCACTTTCTAACCTTCTCACATAAACCTACCAGTGACAAGGAAAATAGTCACTTTCTAACCTCACATAAACCTACCAGTGACAAGGAAAATAGTCACTTTCTAACCTCACATAAACCTACCAGTGACAAGGAAAATAGTCACTTTCTAACCTCACATAAACCTACCAGTGACAAGGAAGAAAAATCACTTTCTAACCTTCACAATCTCCAGTGTCACATGAGCTTTTCAACTCAGAGATTGCATGACCTTCTTTTTTTCCCTGAGTGATATGACCCTCTGACCTCTGTGAAAGACATGACTTTTCAGACTCATCTTTCACACTTACCTCTGATTCAAAAATTTTGTTTTCAAATGTTACCTAAAACTGTTACTTCATGAAAAAGCAAAAAAAAAAAAAAAAAACCATTCCTCTTTCATGTAATTTCAACTCTCCCTGACATGTGACCTTTGGCCTATGACTGGTAGATATGAAACTCTCTATGTCCTGCTCTGTCCAACAATAACCCCATTCCCTGATATATTGACAGTGTAAGGAAACTTTGTGACACATGACCTTTCCTCCTCCTGCGATGTATTGCCCCCGACTTCGAGTGGTCAGTGAAACGGGCAGTAGAAACCCCACAAGATATATGACCCCCTCTACGGACCGTCTCCTGACCTCATCCTTCAGATTGACACACTAGACTGGGGCTCTGGGAGAGGCCTAACTGCCTCACTCTCACTCTGTCTGTTGCTAGTCAGCTCAGAGGCCATACACCGACAAATTTATGTGACTGCATGGCTATATGTATCTCCAATATCACCAAGACTGGACTGTCTGGCCATATTAATTAGTGTATTGATTGGGGGTCAGGTCAGTAGGGGTAGCTTGGATCAATACAGGCAGACACACCGCAGGCCTCAACACCAGCGGTCAGCTGAACGGTCAATATTACACACCCCACACCACACAACAATCTTAATAGACTCATCATTTATTTAATTTTAAACCACATACTCTTTGCGTAGGAAGAAGTACCGTAAAAACAGTACATACCAAAAACCAGAAACAACTTTCCATCCTAGAAACCAAAATTGTTTTCAATACTGAAAACCAAGCTTTCTTTCCATGCTGGAAACCAAAATTGTCTTTCTATCCTTAAATTCAAAACTATCCTTTAGTCTTCAAACCAATACTGCGTTTCCACTCCTCAAACCAAAATTGTCTTTCCATCCTAGAAACCAAAATTGTCCTTCCATCCTGCAAACCAAATTGTCTCTTAATACTGAAAACCAGAAATATTTTTCCTTACCAGAAACAAAACCAAGTTCCCACTTCAGAGTCCAAACAATTTCCAGTAACCTTAGAATGACACCCCTGCTAAATCTACCACATTTACAATCTACACGACACCCCTGCTAAATCTACCACATTTACAATCTACACGACACCCCTGCTAAATCTACCACATTTACAATCTACACGACACGCTTGCTAAATCTACCACATTTACAATCTACATGACACCCCTGCTAAATCTACCACATTTACAATCTACATGACATCCCTGCTAAATTTACCACATTTACAATCTACAAACAACTGTGTTAAAAAAAGAAATGGTGATGATCCAGTTCCCTTCATCATAAATATAAACACATCTCTGCATAGACACTTGTTTCTGTGGAGGTAATATTTTCGCATTTTCGTACATTAAATTGATGGAAAAAATTCAATCTGTTTAATAATGACACACATGTGTATTATATGTTCTTTTACATACACATCCGAAAAACTTTAATTCATTAAAATATCATTTGTTCATTTTAATGGAAAATCAAACATTTTGACCTAACCCCTGAAAATTACCAACTATATGGTTTTCTTTTGCTAGATTAGATAAAGAATGTTTATACTTAATCAGAGATATCAATTTCTGTTCTTTATATCCGTGAATTCACATGTCCACGAAATGATACAGAAACAAAAATTGACAAGGATTATGGTACTAGCGGATTTTATGAGCAAGATTTTCCAACAAAATCAAGTTCTAATGAAAATACCTCTTTTTGTAATACCACCAAATTTAAGCCCCACTAAAATTTTGGATTTTACCTTACATAGAACGTAGTTTATTTCACTATTTCAAATGTACTCAGATGGGTCTGTCCTACTAATGCTTGAAGACTGGAAACCTTGTAAATGTAAATTCAATGAAAAAGTACAAGTGGGATATTGGTGCCAACCATTGTTTGATCCTTATATTTTCTTAAAAAAATTGATTTTTTTTTTCTGTTCTTTCCTCTTCTTGCTTTTAATTATATTTAAAATAAAATGGAATCAAAATTTCTCTCAAGAAATAACACAAATAGTTGTTTGACTGCCATTTTATTTCTTGTTATCAGTCCCAAAGTCATATGCTACAACTAGAGGGCATGGTTAACTGACATATAAAAGTTGATAAAGATCAATCAAGTATTTCTGAAGTAATGTTGATAAACTTTCAATGTAAAAATCCCAAACAGAAGTTTTGTTTTCCTTATCAGCCACCAAACGAAAAGGGTACAACTAGGGACAAAGGGAACCATCAAATGAAATCTGAGAAAGTAAATATCTTCTATGCTCAAAATCCAAGACCAAATCCAAGGCTGCATGTTAGCCATTTTGTTTTTCTGATCACATTTGAAATTGAATAGGTGCAATTAGGATGAAGCAGAGCCTATATACCAAGTTTCAGAAATATCCTTCCAGAACTTCTAAAAAAATAGCAATAACAAACTTCAACTATCAAAATTCAAGATGGCCGCCTATTTGCAATTTTTTTCTTTTTGATCAGTTCCAAAATCAAAAGAGCAAAGTTAAGGACAATGGAGAACCTACAACAGAAATTTCAGAGAGATCCATTCCAAACTCTCAAGAATGAGCAGTAACAAACTTCCATTGTCAAAAACAAAATGGTTGCCTGGTGGCCATTTTGTTTTTCAAGAAATATCCATCAAGTATAAATGGATCGCCTAAGTAATATTGATAATTAGAATGGTTTACTGACAGAGGACATAACATGAATATAGAGCAATTTGAATAGCCCACTATCATTAATAAACTTATTTTACATCAGCTGTAGAAAAAATTATCCAACTTATACCTATGAGTCTTGTTGGCCTGGCGGGAATGTGTCAGAGGTCTTACTATGGGAAGAAACCAGAGTACCCAGAGAAAGCATAATCTGGCAGGTGACCCTTACCTTTTCACGCTCATTCTGCGACAATTCTATACACAGAGTTAACTGTCATTAAATGGACTTGTAGTTTGTCTTGTTGTGTAAGTACTACAGGTAGAGTTTGTAAATGAGAGAGATAAATCACCTCAAAAGGGTCAGAGTTTATAATGTTGTGTAAATACTTACAGTTACAGAAATAACTCATCTCAAACAGCAAAGGGCTTAAATTTCGATGGACCAACTTTGACAGGCCCAGTAGTTTGGGATGTTGAGTACTTACATTGAGGAACGTTTTGATTAAGTGAGGTAGCTCTCCTTGAAGGGCTGGTAGTTTGGGATGGTGTGAGGATACTTCACATGCCACACGATGTGAAACATGAACTCGATGCGGTCCTGACAACACTTCTGACAGCTGGGACACCGAAAAGGATCATGATCCATGGGGTGCAGAGACTGGTGTAAATGAAACATGGTGAAGTCCTGAAAGAACAGGTTACAATGGGGACAGTGATGGATTCCCGAGTCCACCGTCGGAGTTTCAGATGTCGTTGTCACGTCACGTTTTTCCTCACTTTCTGCCTCCGACATCTGAGGAGATTTGGATACAAAAGAGGAGTTGCCTCCTTTCCAATCGCCATCGTCGGAGTCTCCACTGCTGATTGACTTGTTTATACTGAGGTCTATGACACGATCAGCACGGTCTGAGGTAGACGTCTGAGCCCCGTAGATTGAGGAGATGGGAGGGAGAGGTACTGGCTGAGGTAGAGATGTCAGTCCTGACAGGCTGCAACATAAAATACCATTTCCATGATAATAGAAAATTTCAGAGAAAATTCTCTATACAAAATATGTCAAAGACATTCAAAATCTTCAGTTTTTGCAATCAAAACAAAACAAGATTATCATTAATTCAATTTTTCGTCTCTAAAAGAATCAGTTTCATGTTCAGAAAACAAAATTTCTTGAGGAGTACCTCGGACAGTTCATGTTCAGAAAAACAAAATTTCTTGAGGAGTACCTCGGACAGTTCAGATTCAGAAAACAAAATTTCTTGAGGAGTACCACGGACAGTTCAGATTCAGAAAACAAAATTTCTTGAGGAGTACCACGGACAGTTCATGTTCAGAAAAACAAAATTTCTTGAGGAGTACCACGGACAGTTCATGTTCAGAACAAGAGATCCCAGAGGGATCTTGGCACCCACCATTTGAGGATCTGTTTTCGGTTCTTGAAGATTTGTTTATTTTTTTTTGTTTGTTACAGGTGTTGTAAATGTTCATGAACTGGTCTTCATTGAATGTACTCAATGATGGCACAAGATATTTTTATTAAGCACCTATTAGCAAATATCATTTGAAAAAGATCCCAAAGTATTATTTGATAGCAGTCAGTTACAGGTGGATAATGGACAATATGCTTGTGCTGTATTACTGTCGACATCCAAGATGGCTGCCTGTGGGCCACCTTGATTTCAAATCAGTCCAAAAAAGGTACAATGCACAACTACGGACCAAGGGAAACCAATATCTATGAAATATCAGAAGAATCCATCCAGTACTTCCTCAGATAGAGCAGTAACAAGATTTTACTCTCAAAATCCAAGATGGCTGCCTGTCAGCCATCTTGATTTCGGATCAGTCCAAAAAGGTATAATGCACAACTTGGAACCAAAGGGAACCTGCATATGAAATTTGAGAAAGATCCATCCAGTACTTTCCAAGAAATAGCAGTAACAACCTTTTACATTCAAAATCCAAGATGGCCACCTGTCTACCATCTTGAATTCGAATCAGTCCACAAAAGGTACAATGCACAACTAGGGACCAAGGGGAAACTGCATATGAAATTTGAGGAAGATCCATCCAGTACTTTTCCAGAAATAGCAGCAACAAACTTTTACTTCCAAAATCCAAGATGGCTGCCTGTCGGCCATCTTGAATTAGAATCAGTCCAAAAAAGGAACAATGCACAACAAGGGACCAAGGGGTACCTGCATATGAAATTTGAGAAAGATCCATCCAGTACTTTTCCAGAAATAGCAGCAACAAACTTTTACTTCCAAAATCCAAGATGGCCACCTGTCGGCCATCTTGAATTAGAATCAGTCCAAAAAAGGAACAATGCACAACAAGGGACCAAGGGGTACCTGCATATGAAATTTGAGAAAGATCCATCCAGTACTTTCCAAGAAATAGCAGTAACAAACTTTTACATCCAAAATCTAAGATGGCCACCTGTCGGCCATCTTGAATTCGAATCAGTCCACAAAAGGTACAATGCACAACTAGGGACCAAGGGGAAACTGCAAATGAAATTTGAGGAAGATCCATCCAGTACTTTTCCAGAAATAGCGGTAACAAACTTTTACTTCCAAAATCCAAGATGGCCACCTGTCAGCCATCTTGAATTCGAATCAGTTCAAAAAGGTACAATGTACAACTAGGGACCAAGGGGAAACTGCATATGAAATTTGAGAAAGATCCTTCCGGTACTTTTCCAGAAATAGCAGTAACAAACTTTTACTTCCAAAATCCAAGATGGCCACCTGTCAGCCATCTTGAATTCGAATCAGTTCAAAAAGGTACAATGCACAACTAATGACCAAGGGGAACCTGCATATGAAATTTGAGAAAGATCCATCGAGTACTTTTCCAGAAATAGCGGTAACAAGAATTGTTTACGGACGGACGATGAACCACGGACGCAGGGCGATTTGCTAAAAACAAAATTTCTTGGAGTACCTCGGACAGTTCAGGTTCAGAAAACAAAACTTCTTAAGAAGTACCTCGGACAGTTCAAGTTCAGAAAACAAAATTTCTTGAGGAGTACCTCGGACAGCTCATGTTTAGAAAACAAATTTTCTTAAGGAGTACCTCGGACAGTTCATGTTCAGAAAACAAATTTTCTTAAGAAGTACCTAGGACAGTGTGGAGAGACCAATCCATTCTTGTGAGGACTAGCTCCGTCAGAGGTGTGACTACGCTGACTGCTGAGGTAAGTGGATGAGGATAGGGCAGGGGGAGAATGGATCACACTACTGCTTGTCGTCAAGGAGATCTGTGGAGAAAAACACCATTAGCTACAAAAGTATTGATCAGGGGTCATATATACACTCCAAACCCTTAATCTGTGGTCAAGGATGACCTTTGACTTTAAACCCTGAAACTTTTAAACTAATGACCACCAGTATCTTATCAGTATATCTGGGAACTTGTAGTAAAATTACATAAACTTGTCCTTGGCTGTTTGTGTAATGATTACTCCCATTGATTGCCAAAACTCTTTGGTGATCATTTATTAATTACCATACAGCCAGTTTTTTTCACATGGACAGTGTTTTTGCTATTTCGCAGCACACTACTGGATCTTGAAATTTCAATCTGTGAAATAATGAGACATGTGTATTCAATATCCTTTTAAAATTCATATAGTGAAATTTTGAATTAGTTAAAATAAAATTTGATCATTTATAATGATATATAAATTTGATCGTTTTTAAAAGCAAATCATGAAAATTTCAACCTGTGAAATAACCAGCTATACACTACAAGTGTATCTTTAAAAGGAAAAAGAATTTTTTCCAATAACAAATAAACAGAAACATGAAAAACCACACAACCTATCTTTATATCAGTTGCTTGATATTTCTTACTTACCTTGGCATATTCATTTGACATCTGCCGTTGGAGATTCCTAAGTTCAGAGTCAGAAGAGTTTTGATTGGATAATGGGCGACTGTTCTGGCCATCTGATTGGTGGGCCTCATCGCCAGGGGTTGATGGAGGTGTAACTTGCTCCAGCTTGATTGGACTCGGCGTTTTATGTGCACGGTACATACTGTCTGTTGAGGTAGATACGGACAAGTCACATTGGTCACGTTTTGGAGCAGGCAGAATGGACGAGTCTGATGGGGGACCCATGTAATGACTCTGAGTGACAGCCGCAGCACTGTGCATTATCGTTTCATATGTAAGTGCATGCTGAAGTAGGGCACGCTGCTGCATGGCAAACGCCTGATAAGCGGCCATGTTGACCTGTCCAGTGCTGCTAGCTGCACGTGCCCCAGTTGATCTGTAGTTAACAAGTTTACCTCGCATGTGTACGTTTCTCTCATGGCGTCGCAGGTCATTGGATTGTGTGAAACACCTGTAATATATATCCAAAACTGTTAGAAAAAATGCATACATATGTATACATACATATGTTTATATATACATAAATATGTTTAAATATGTTTATATATACATACATAGAAATCAAACAACTAAAAAGAGAATATCCATTGTATTGTATGTTCATTCTTTTCGGAAAACTTCGAATTACAAACTTTAGCAACATTTCTAAAATTCTATCAAATCTATGAAAAGATTAAATTTACATTCTAAAATAATCAAATACTCAAGCATAAATAGGATCTCATCTGAAGATATAATACAAAGAAATTAAGAGATAAGACAACTCCTGAGGTAACAGAAGACTACAGATCAGATTTCCTACCTGTGACAAATTTTGCACTTGTATGGCCTTTCTCCTGTGTGGACACGTTCGTGGACTTTCAAGTTTGACGACCACAGAAAAGACTTTCCACATGTGGTACATACATAAGGTCGGTCTGCACGGTGCAATTGTTCATGTTTACGTAATGTGGCTATTTCCCGAAATTGTCTTGAACACACATCACACTTATGTGGACGTGAGTTTGATGATGCTGGTAAACGCACAATTTCTTTCTCCCTCCCATCGTCATCCATATCTACAAGAGAAATATCAAACATTGTTCATGAAGCAGACTCAATATTGCACATGGTCATAGATATATTCAACTTAAAACAAGTTAAAAAAATTTAAAAACCAAAACAATAAGACATCAGTATTTCCTAAACTTGTGTTTTACTCTACTTATCGACCAATCAGACATCAGCATTTACGCTTCTTAACCACCAACCAGACATCAGTATTTACTTCATTACAGTTCTACGTTTATCGACCAATCAGACATCAGTATTTACGCTTCTTAACCACCAATCAGATATCAGTATTTACTTCATTACAGCTCTATATTTATTCACCAATCAGATATCAGTATTTACGCTTCTTATCCACTAATCAGACATCAGTATTTACTTCACTACAGTTTTACTATACTTATCCACCAATCAGACATCAGTATTTTATAATCATTTTTACTCTTATCTACTAATAAGCCCATCCACATTTATTGCAGCTGCAGATGAAAAGGCCATCAGATACTATATCATTATCGTGTAATCTAGCACATCCCATTAATTGATCACTAAAAAACGACACTACCACCCTCTGGGGTTTAAGCATGATAATTACGGTAATGCCTTATCTTTTCATACACATGCTACACTACTTGCAAAAGTTGATTGTTTAGGAAATGCATGATCGTCATTCAGTCGTAGAGAGAGAATAGACATTCAAGGATTTTTTCATAGAACAATCATCAAACATTGAAAAGCTGTAATTTCACCTGTGAGAAACACAAGCTAGAATATTGATTATTCCTACACATTTGTATATGTCAAACAATTAAATTGTGCATGATAATGAGAATTGTAGTAACAACATATCAGTGGTGTTCATTGTAATGATCTTCACCACTAATGTCGGGATGGAGAGAAGATGGGGGTGATAAAGGGGGTAGGATTACAAATTAATATTACACCAACTGTGAGTTTTCTTTTCCATAAAAAGGTCCTTATATGTACTTCACCAATAGTATTTCATTGTATCCCCTTATCCTATTGTTCCACTACTGGACCCTGCCTATCTGCTATTAAAGAGAAGGAATGATAGATCTCTCTACAAATCATTTCATAATACCCTCACATGTAAACTCAGGTAGGAAAGGATCATAAGATGTCCCTTTTCATCCCTGTTAGGGTCACATCTGATTTTTTTTTAATTGGTTTGGTTAAACTTCATATGAATTTTTTGAGAAAATAATTTCCCAAATATTGTTAAACATGTAGTACAGAATTTTGAGCATGGAGCTGGGCAATACTAGCTTACCAAGTATTACACTGCTCCAACTTAAACGTAATTACCTTGTAGACAAGGACACTAACAAATACCGAAAGATGCTGTGCGGAGAAACACAGGGATGTAATTAGGTTGTTGGAATATCTATAAATACATAACGTACATGTCTTATAGTATAAAAGAACATTACCCTTGTCTGGAGTTTATAAATATTGTGTACTTAATGTTTAAGATTACATATCAATACATTATGATGAAATATGACACAATAAAACATTGACCTACCACTGTACAGGTGTTAACACAAATTGACACACAATAAAACATTGACCTACCACTGTACAGGTGTTAACACAAATTAACACCATAAAACATTGACTGATCACTGTACAGGTGTTAACACAAATTAACACATGATAAAACATTGACCTACCACTGTACAGGTGTTAACACAAATTAACACATGATAAAACATTGACCTACCACTGTACAGGTGTTAACACAAATTAACACATGATAAAACATTGACCTACCACTGTACAGGTGTTAACACAAATTAACACATGATAAAACATTGACCTACCACTGTACAGGTGTTAACACAAATTAACACATGATAAAACATTGACCTGCCACTGTACAGGTGTTAACACAAATTAACACATGATAAAACATTGACCTACCACTGTACAGGTGTTAACACAAATTAACACAATAAAACATTGACCTACCACTGTACAGGTGTTAACACAAATTAACACATGATAAAACATTGACCTACCACTGTACAGGTGTTACCACAAATTAACACATAATAAAACATTGACCTACCACTGTACAGGTGTTAACACAAATTAACACCATAAAACATTGACCTACCACTGTACAGGTGTTAACACAAATTAACACATGATAAAACATTGACCTACCACTGTACAGGTGTTAACACAAATTAACACATGATAAAACATTGACCTACCACTGTACAGGTGTTAACACAAATTAATACATGATAAAACATTGACCTACCACTGTACAGGTGTTAACACAAATTAACACAATAAAACATTGACCTACCACTGTACAGGTGTTAACACAAATTAACACAAGAAATCATTGACCTACCACTGTACAGGTGTTAACACAAATTAACACATGATAAAACATTGACTGATCACTGTACAGGTGTTAACACAAATTAATACATGATAAAACATTGACTACCACTGTACAGGTGTTAACACAAAATGACACACAATAAAACATTGACCTACCACTGTACAGGTGTTAACACAAATTGACACACAATAAAACATTGACTGATCACTGTACAGGTGTTAACACAAATTAACACAGGATAAAACATTGACCTACCACTGTACAGGTGTTAACACAAACTAAAACATGATAAAACATTGATTGATTACTGTACAGGTGTTAACACAAATTAACACATGATAAAACATTGACCTACCACTGTACAGGTGTTAACACAAATTAACACATGATAAAACATTGACCTACCACTGTACAGGTGTTAACACAAACTAACACATGATAAAACATTGATTGATTACTGTACAGGTGTTAACACAAATTAACACATGATAAAACATTGACCTACCACTGTACAGGTGTTAACACAAATTAACACATGATAAAACATTGACCTACCACTGTACAGGTGTTAACACAAATTAACACATGATAAAGCATTGACCTACCACTGTACAGGTGTTAACACAAATTAACACATGATAAAACATTGACCTACCACTGTACAGGTGTTAACACAAACTAACACATGATAAAACATTGACCTACCACTGTACAGGTGTTAACACAAATTAACACATGATAAAACATTGAACTACCACTGTACAGGTGTTAACACAAATTAACACATGATAAAGCATTGACCTACCACTGTACAGGTGTTAACACAAATTAACACATGATAAAACATTGACCTACCACTGTACAGGTGTTAACACAAATTAACACATGATAAAGCATTGACCTACCACTGTACAGGTGTTAACACAAATTAACACATGATAAAACATTGACCTACCACTGTACAGGTGTTAACACAAACTAACACATGATAAAACATTGATTGATCACTGTACAGGTGTTAACACAAATTAACACATGATAAAACATTGACCTACCACTGTACAGGTGTTAACACAAACTAACACCATAAAACATTGACTGATCACTGTACAGGTGTTAACACAAATTGACACACAATAAAACATTGACCTACCACTGTACAGGTGTTAACACAAATTAACACATGATAAAACATTGACCTACCACTGTACAGGTGTTAACACAAATTAACACATGATAAAACATTGACTGACCACTGTACAGGTGTTAACACAAATTAATACATGATAAAACATTGACTGATCACTGTAAAAACCAATTTAATGATGTATCACATGATATATTTTCTACTAATTTGTAATCAAGTTGATCTCTTAAAGGTCTCATTCTAAATAAGAGTGATTTGACCCTTGATGTTTAGGGTCAGAATGGAGAACACATTTGACCCATTAATTCTGAGTTACATACAAACTATTTTTCATTGACAGATAACAATGACTTGAAGTAAGATTATCATTATCTCTGTGACCTTGACCTTTCCATTTTTTTTGTGCATAACTTATACGTAAAAAAAAAACCCAATAATATTTGTATGTACAAAGTTTCATCAAACTAGTATGATATCAATAGCCTAGGGGGAAACAAATAAAGTACTGGTTCTTGAAGGTGACCTTGACCTTTTTATATCATATTCTCCTTTGATATTACTAAAGATGACCTTTGACCCCCTTGATTTTAATTTTTACAGGAGATGCTCTCAGGAAGTCCAAGCTAGGAGTTTACAAGACGATAAATATGTTTCTATAGCAATGCATTATCTACAAATTAAAATTTAACAACTACTATCGATATTTCGTGTGGAAACTTTCTATTTTAATTAAGTCTTTTGTGATTTTTTAAGCACACATTGCACTTATAATATTGTACACAATAGTGTATCCTGATAGTAAGCTGCTGAATATTTTGAAACCCAAAAGTTCCTTACTATATACAAAGATAGGAGCTAATATGTGTTTCACAATTTTTTTTCAAAGATTTGCTGAAATGAAAAATTCATGACTAGTTCCATAAATAGCATATCTTTTTTATCACATGATAGAGTCTGTATGATAGAACATGGAGATTTCTATGTCAAACCTGAAGTCATGTCCACTCTAAATCTTAAAAGTCATGTGTGAATGTGTGATGTCACTTATCTAAAGTGACGTCACTGAATAACAACCAGAATACGCTATATATTGCATGCATGTAACATGCAAAAATATGACATGGGTATGTATTTAATGAATTACAAGGCAGTTATATGATAAAAGAAGATAACACATTGGACAATCACGAGGTAGGTAATTGTCCTGTTACACCCATGTCTATGTTAGCACTGCCACAATGCTTCTTTATAAAGTTGTCAAATAAAACTTTAAAAAAAAATACATATAACATCAAGATCAAACTGTGTTTGTAACAAATAAATCACAACGTTATTTTCTTTCAAGCTACAAGAAGAGATATAAACAATGCTCTTCTATCATTTAAACTGTTTTGGCAAAAGGCTTGCAATATCCGTTTAGGAATCTATTCCAATTCTCACAAAAACAATCTGGAACCAATAAGTTGTAAGTCTAGGTAA